AGCCAGCATGAAAGGAGCTGTGAAAACGAGGTATTTACATTGCATACAAATTATTCTGCAACTCTGCAGTCGGCTATATCCAGGTAATCTTACAGGTAACTGAGTAGTTCATTTTCCAGGCTAAAAAAGCCTTTTCGTTTAATTTCATTTACTGTAGTGGACTTGTATTTTTATTGATACTGAATTCTTTACAGGTTCACACAGTAATTACAGAATTGGCAAACTGATTTATCATGATTCATGGGTTCTGGTTGGACCGTAGGTCTCTCTGCATGTTGGCCTCACCGCTGACATGGAAAACCCCAAGGGTCCACCGGGGCTCGAGGAAGGGGAATCCAACGGCAGCCAAATCGCTACTTTTTTTCTTCAGATGCTTCTCTGACTTTAGATTTGGATTCAGTGCGGTGAGCTGTACTGTGAAATGAAATTAAGATCTCTACCCTCCTCTGGTGCAATTTTAAAGATGTAGCATGATGCGGATGAGAGGAAAAATGCCACCTAGATTAGACAGGGATTGGGATCTGCCCTTTTTTCTCAGAGTCCGGAACATTATCAGCAATGTGTCGCTATGGTAATTGAAAAAGGCAGGGAAAAGAAGCATCCATCATCGTCTCTCTAACCTGTTGCTGATATGACAAGAGTTGCTATGAAATGAAAGCTAGGCAATGGAGAAAAATTGATTTACAGCCAGGTCCCATTTGGTTAATTGCTTCAGTCTCCCTTGATTAGAGGTTTGGGTGGTCAATGCAGTGGGTCTGCTCCAACTGAGAAGACTTCTGCTGGCATCTTACCAGCTGAGCGATACGTTTTTGGAGGTTGCTGTATGTTTTTTTTTTTAGCTATTGTGGAGGTGGCTCGCAGTGTCAGCGGGACAGTTCTGTATGTGAGACAGCCGTATGTAAGATGCTGTAATGATGCTGTATATATATTTTGCTCATCTACTGAGCATAAGGCATGAAAAGTGAAAAGTGCAAGCTTCTGGCTGGTCTATACAGCCGGCCTAGAAAATCCACAGTGCTTTGAACACCTCAGTGGTGCCATAGAGCTTGACAGGAGTTTGCAGTTTTTTTTAGAACCTTCTCCTTTGAATATTACTCAAAGGTGTAACAGACTTGATCTGAAAAATGAAACGCTAATAAAGATATAGCTAGCTAAGTTATTCTTGCAATGAAACAAACGATAAAAAGGTGATCGCTGCCATCTTCAAATTAAACCAATAAAGATCTATATGAAAATTACACAGCACACATTGTTCTCACTTCTGTTTTTACAGCAGCAGAATCACACTCCTCCAGCGGAAGAGACGCTTACAGGGCATGTGGCTGGTGTTTATGAGAAGGCAGGGCAGCGGTTTGTTTCAGTCTCACTGGGAATTGGATGTACTGTACTTTTTTCACTTTGTGGTTTATCATTAATTTTGAATTAGAAATTCAGTTAAATATTATGTTATATTTTATTAAAAAACCTGAATGAACTGAAATGAAATAAAAGACTGTAAGTAATCGTCTCCTAGTGAGAGTCCCCTTTTTAAAAGGGGCTGTTCGGGAAAAGGAGGTAAAAGGAGGTAAAAGGAGGTGTTGTTAAATGGGCTCTAGGCCCACAGGGATCCCACTGAGATGCTGAAAGTCTGCTTGCGTGCAGCTTCTTCGTCCTGCGGGCCTTTTGGGGAGGGGCTCCTGCTGCATTCCCCTCCTGCCCTCCTCCTGCAGGCCTATGAGGAGCCAGCTGGAGACCTGGCAGGACGTCAGACGGGGAGCCTCAGGAAACTGGCTTCGCTTCCCCTGCTTGCCATGGAGCTGCCCTTGCTGCGGTGGAGGTCAGAGAGCCCCACCCACCTACGCCCCCCCCCCGGCCGAGAGTGCAGCGGTCCACTTGCGAAAGCAGTAGGGACGATGGGGCAGTAATTGTTTTCTTCTCTGCGTGAGAACAAGAGACCGTCCAAGAGCTGGCTTTGACGCAGGCAGATTAAATATCCATCAAGCAGATCAGAAAGATATAAGCGTCTAAAAAACACTCGGATCTCAATGTACCGGGTAGAAACGTGGTATACGGGCTCACCGGCAGTGTCATGGAGGGACTCGAGCCGGCTCACATCAAAATAGCCAAGGCCTGATTCAGCCGTTGAAGCCCGGGCTGAATAGGCAATTATTATTTCTGCTTATTTCCATTTGAAAAGCGCAAAGGACATCAGCATCCCTTACAGTGGGATAATAAAGTACGATGTTTAGAACGTGGAGGTGGAATAATGAGGAAGGTCTGCTCAGCCGGCAAGGAGCTGAAGGTCTGGGAGAAAACAATTAGGATGGCTGTGGGTAATGTGAGGATGGCTGCGTGTGTACACAGAGTCCGAGAGAGAGAACTCACTCTTTTAATGCATTTCTGCTCAGAAGCCTTTGGGCGCCGGTCTCTGTGAGGCCATCCTCACATTCAGGGGCTTATTTTAATTTTATATTTTTTATGATTCACATGCCTCCTCTGTATGTCTTTTTCCAAGCGGACCGCTCTCGGCTAATTCCCTATCAGCGAGCAACTCTTTATACGGTGAAGCACCTGGCCTTGTTCTAGCCCTGGATGTTACCGTTTCCAAGTTGCGGCAACGCCCGGGGACAGTCACATGACACGGGGATTTGTGATTGGACCGTAGCTTCGTTTGCCATTCCCCTTTTCGGATTTAGATGGCGGTGGCGAAGGACAACAAGAGTCTTTTTGCAAAATACGACACCTTTAATTGGTGTTTCAGCAGGCAGAACAATGCCTAAAGCCTTGCTGACCCCCCCCAGGTATCGGCACGAAGATACGCTCCATGGTTACTGGCAAAACAAAAGCAGAAGACACCAGTGGAAGTGAGAGACAGGTGGATCACGTCAATAGAAACAACACGTCATGTGGTTCACGTCCCAGACGCCTCCCATTCACACTGACACAATGCATAGTATCATCATGCTAATCCTCTGCCTTTCAGTGTCGCATAAAACACAAGACTAATACAATGTTCAAATTCAAGGATTATTAATAAAATCTGAAGGCCAACACTGAGAGATCAGGTTTCTTCTGTCAAGCTGTTCGTATACTGAAGGAGGAGTATTTAACAGTTAACTCCTCTTTTACACACTTTATACAGTCACTAGGCATTCCTCGTTTTACATGTGCACGACATAAAAACACACATTTATATTATCCTCCTGAGACCCGACCTATTCATTTATGTCCATTGTAGTGGACATTGTATTTTTGCATTTAGTTTTTCACTGATGTTAGGAAACATATTTATTCCTGTTGTGCACTAAAGAGGACATGCTGCGAAATTAAAAATAAAAATAAATTCGAAAATTTTTAGTGTAAGATGTCTTATTTCCTCCAAAGACAAATAACCTACAATTGAAGGACACTTTTCCCTTGGGTCTCAGGAGGTTATTGCATCTATATTTTATTGTCTTTTTTATTGTTATTTAAATTGTATTTACTATTTCTTTATCATATTAGGTTTTTTTGAGTGCAATTCCACTACACATGTGTACAGTGTATCGCTCATGCGTGTGACAAATAAAACTTGATAAAGGGCAGAGGCGTGAAAGGTGGTTTTTAGCTTTATATTTTAAACTCTCGAAAATGTAACACAGGTAAGTTTCAAATGCACTGCTTTGTCTGCTTGTGCAGAAAGTGATTCACCTATATACTGTACATATATCAATGTACTGGCATTCCCACACACATTTTATGCACCTGCAGAGAAACTGAACCATGATCCAGATGAACAGAACTGCGTCTTTCCCAAAACATCCCGTCCTCATTATTTCCAAAAACAAAACAAACATTCAGAACACTTGTCATTCTACACTTCATATTTATTTTAGCTAGTTCAATTGTGTGGCAGGATTTGTGTCACACTGCATATGTTTCTCTGAGTATGTTTATTCCATGACTTCATTGTGACATTACATGGAAATGTCTGCTGTCTTGGACAATCTAGCTTGTCCTTTGAACTCCAGCAGACTCCCCCGGTGTTAAAAGCTAATGAAGAGGATGGGCAGGCCGTCATGTCCGCAGGCCTCTGAATACAGGCTGCATCTCGGGTTTCGGTTCGCCGTGTCCTGCCTGTATTATTCATTTCCGTTGGCAGACTACCATTTCTGAGTCTCTCGGAGGAGCAGCTGGGAGCTCTGTGAGCCTGACCTCCGGGTCTCACCTGAATTCGGCGTCCGGCCCTCGTCGTTCTCAATTAGCGGGAAACAATGAGCGGCCTTCAGTTATAGTCCGGTCACCCCAGGGCTGGCAGGAGGCTCACAGGGAGCGGGCTCCGTTACCGCCGACGGGATATCCAGTAACTCGCGAAGCAGCTGTCCACGTTCCCTCCTCAGACTCTTTCTGTCCTTCCCCATATATATATATTTTTTTCACTTAAGAGAGCAGCCACTGTGATACGATACAATACAAAAAGTAACATTGCCAGCAGAGATCTGCACAAGAGCAGGCTTTTAATTTATGTGAATCGTCTGCATAAAATAAAAGCGTACACATTAAAAGATGAACGTTGAAATCAGTGTAAAGCTCGGGGGGAGGGGGCAGGGACGGTTATGAAGCATTTAACTATTCGACTCTGGTACCTGCTGTTGTGCCTGTAGGGAACCAGTGAGTGTGATTATACTCTTGGTAATTTTAATCACTTCTCACATGTCCATAGATGCCCAGCTGTAGCGCTGCGGAATGAACGAAAGTAATTGTGTCGCAACACAGATCAGGCAAGCTGCTTGTCAGGGGCTGTAAAGCTAATAATAAGCCCCAGCCCCTCTGTGATCAAACGAAGAGGAATGTGATTACACGCGCTCTGATTGGCCACTTGCCGTACCCACCCCTTGGCTGAATGGTGCAATTTTGCAGTCCTGACTACAGTAAGCCTTCAGCTCTGTCCACTTACCTTTCTGGACTTTGTAGAGGGAGGTTAATAAGGAACCAAAACCTAGCACAGCGCCACATTGTAAGTAAGAAACGGACACACCAGAGCAGTTTGCACTTCATTTATAAAACATCAGTGTTCTTTTACATCAGCCACCTGCAGTAAAACATGCAAAATATGCATACAGGTACTGTGGAGGTTGAATACAATGTCTACAGAAACCTGTCATTATTTACACAATGCTAAATGGGTTGTTTGAGAACAGAGGAAGACAACTCTTAAAAAGATGATTAGATTAAATACCAGCCTTCATTTTTGCTTATATTACTATGGAGATTATGGTATTATGGAATATTTGACTTCAGAATGATCTGTTTCCTGGAGTCCTGTTTCCTCCCTCAGCTCAGACTCGGTGAGCAGGAAGAAACAGGAGAACCGAAGGTCAGGGATGCCAGACACGTGTGTTTTTCCAGTCGCTCTGCTGCTTCTTCAGAACGGGGAGTTAACCTGTAACTGTGGAGCTGCCGGCAGAAATATCTGACATGTGATGCGGAAAAATCCTGCCCCACAGCGCTGGGAACGAGGCCTATTCCGACCCCGAAATAAGACCACTGATACTGAGGGTCTACAGAATGGCAATCTTGGCAGATGGCAATAAATTTAACAGCCCCATGGAATGACTTTGGACGTTCCATCACTGGCATGTGATGTGAAAGCAAATGGTTTTCTGCAGACACCAGCATGCCGTGTCATCACCGCGGTGATGAGGGTGTTCTAATGAAGCAGTCCGCTAAGCCGGAATCTTCTGTAAACAGCCTGGCCCTAAGGAACCATGGTGTTTTCCAGGCATCCTGGCACTGGTTCATTGTACAATGTGTTCCGTGTTACGCCTGCTGTGGACACCATCCAGGGATGCGAGTGTATGTTTCATTTTCTCGAAGTTCCAGCCTTGATTTTGTCGTCCTGTTGCACGTGTGACAGAAGAACAAAACAAACTTAATTTGGAAAAGTTTCTCTTAAAAACACTATTACTCAGTGATAACACCCTGGGCCCAGTGTTGATGATGGCAATGAATTGTGGCAATTGAAACACTGACTGAATTTTTTGTACTAGAATGTATTAGCGGGATGCAAAAGGGTGGAAAATGAAATGTCACACGCCACCGTTTGACTTGCATCATCTTGTTTCTGATCATCAACACGTAGCTGCTGTGCTCGACAATTTCGCTTAATGCTAACGACCCAAAGAAGTTTGCATCCTGTTGCCGGAGGGCAGCTGCTGTAAATCGGTAGCATTTGGAAACCAAGCGCATGCAGTCCTGCTTCTGTCCCAGTCTTTGTCTCATTTCATTTCTCCTTCCCACAGCATCTATGTGGTAGGTGCTGTAAGCAGATTTTGTTTTGTGGAACTGTCATAAACTTAAGCCTCTAATTAACATAAAATCTGTTTATTAACATAAATCTGAAGCCATGTTCAGCAATTACTGCAAAAATATCTATCCATCCAGTGGCTGAATAATACATAGGCCTTTCAAGGGTACAGGCTAGGGTCCCAGCAGAATCAGGGGCCCCGCCCTATCTCTGGTAAAATGGGAGAGTTGAATATAATCCCCAATTGATTCTCCAGTACAAAATTATTGATGCCGCATTGTTTTTAATTCTCTTTCGTTTCAGTTTCACTTCCAAAAAATAGCTCAGGTGGCCTGCGTGGGGGGGCCTCCAGAGGAGATAATCTGCCGCTGCATCCACCCCCAATCATTCTTCTAACTGCTTATCCAGGTTTGGGTCACAGGCTGGCCTAGACCCTGCAGAAATATATAAGAATAAATGAATAAAAAAAAGAAATGCATCTGTACTGATGATACCTATTGTTAAAATTATCTTTAGACATCTTAAGCTAGATACCAGGGTTGGGGCCATTCTGGAATGCATTCGTCAGTTCCAATCCAAATCAGAGTTGGGATTTAAATCTCCCTGAAAATCAAATTCAATTCCAATTCTGTTCCCCATAGTTTTTTTTTTCCAATCGCAACTCCAGTTCCATTTCCTGATTTGCACTGGAATTAATGAATGCATTCCGGAATGGCCCCAACCCTGCTAGACAATAAATAAAATATTGAATTAGCCCTTAAAAACTCCCAGGATGGTGTTCTTGTGAATAATGTGATTTTTCTGTTACTACCGGTTTCTCAGGTAAATACCTGTCTCCTTTAGGTGCTGCACAAACTAATTGCATGAGGCTGTGTTTGTCCAAGCAGACAGGTTAAACTGAACCTGGCAATAACCCCTAACCCTAATCCCTGGAATGCACTCTACCAATCCGGCTTAATAAGTACAACTTTATTTCCCATACCCTGTTGACATAAACGCTTACTCCTTTCGAGTACAATAAGCAGTCCAGGGATCATCAATGAGCTTCCTGATTCTGGCATGCCTTAGTGATGCACAAGAAGAAGACCACTTTGTCTGCAGTGCGCAGTACTTTGCTGTTTTGTGTACAGATCCTATCTGTGAAAGGGCCTGTCCAAGGGGGAAGGACTCACTTGGGGAACCTCGGCAGTGAGTGTATTCACAAAAAGGTGATGTCCATGATAAAACTCACTGTGTGCACGGTCAGGTACACAGTGCTACTATGTTGAAACATACACAATACATGGGATGGATATATGAGAACGAGAACCCAGCTGTCCTTTTAAAATCAAGTTCTTTAAATCTCATCAAGTTCCTCAAGTCTTAATCAGGGCTGCAAATTCATGTATCTTCCACTCTTCCTCTCTACTTCGCCGGACCAGATTTATAGGAACAAAGAAAACTCCCAGATTATTCCAAACACATCAACAATCCCACTTGTATATTGAAATACACTTTTTGCATTATGATCACGCAGTGCACATCTTCAATTCAACCCATATACCAGGGGTTCAAAACTGGCCTCAGGACCCACATTATTCTTGGAGTAATAGTTGCAGCCCACTGAATATCGACCCACCAGTTAAGAAACATTTCCTTATACCAAATAAGGAAATACGATGCTCCCTGTTTGAGGATAATAGACTACACTACCCAGCAGGCCTGTTTGTACCAAGAACAATTTCCTGTAAGTAAGCTACCATGAGCTGTTTGTACATATCTTTGTATTTATTGGTTTTGTTTGTGTCTATGATGACGTCTTTATTTGCCCAATTCAGCATGCTTGCTCCTTTGAGTGACACAGTATGATTAGCAGCACTAAGCAGATCCAAAGTGTTTATTTCTAGAATTTTCCCAGGTTAAGTCATCTCTGAAATGACTGACTCGAGTATTTAATAGAAACTTGGAAAGATGAGGTTACTTTGTTCTGAAATAATATCTGTCTGGCTCCTGGACTATTTAGAGGTTTAATAGTCAATGGTGCAAACAGTTACTATTTGTTTTGTTGGCTGTCTAATTTAACTCGGAGCATTCTAACTTGTAATCTTACCTCCTAAATGACTGACAGTGGAAGTGAGTACCTGTTAATGATTCATGAAGGAAACAGGTATTTACCTGAGAAACCGGTAGTTATTTACTGTGATCTACAAGAAATGCTGTAGTGATCAGAGATTTTTAAATTCTGGATGAAAGAGTTTACATGCCTTATTTATGAGTTGTAGAGTGTTGTAACTCTTTAGTAGTAAAGGCTAGGTGAAATGAACTGGTGCTGGATTCAGTACGCCCCGCAATATCACACAGAGGTCTAGGTGGAAATGGAGATACAAAGATTGAAATGCAAGAAGCATCCAACCATTGGCATGAGTTTGGGGAGAAATAGTACTTTAAAGACCAAAAACCTAAAAATAGTCTGACCATTAGTAATCAATCCATCAATTTTCCCAGAACCACTTATCTAAACCAAGGTCATAACAATTCTGCGGCCTCTCTCAAGAACCTCAGAGCACATGGCAGGGAACACACACAAAGGACAATTCAGAGACATCTTTACCTAAACTGGACTGTGGGGAGAAACCAGTGGGCCCAGTGGAAGAACATTGAATCTTCTGAGGCAGCATCAGAACCCCCGATGCTGGAAGACTGGGGTCGCAACTGCTGCCCAGTGAGGCACCACACTGTCCCCACTGCCCTGAAGAAGCAGAAGGACTGAAAAACGGGATGCAAATGTAGGAAGATCCCTGCACTGAATAGCAAATAGAGCTGTAATGCTATTGTCAGACATGTTGTTCTCAACAAATTAGCTTACAGTTTCCTTTATGAGAAACCTCTTGTTATGGAGTCTAAAACGTTAAGACATTAGGTGTATTTCCATGCCCCATGGCATTCTTCTGATGACACTCTTCCTGTTCTGTAAGAGGACACTGGCTGACCCTGTGCTGGTCCTGCCAGCTCAGTTGATGCTGGAGATAAGAGGTTGTTGCCACGGTGCCCAGCTGTGAAGAGGGAGGAGCCTGCATTTGGGACTAAAGCCATTTAACCAGTCAGAAAGCTGATCTCTCACAGCGGACATTTCATTTAAAAAACATGAGTTTTAACATTAACAATAACATATAAATGATGAAAAATATGCACAGGCATGTCTCTGTAAATTGTCATCTATGGATATCTCTTTCTTAGCTCCTACCAGTGATCACCCATATCAATTAAAACTGCACAGTTTAGAAAGGAGTTTAATATGCCAGGGCACTTATGCCCAGACAGGGTACAAAAAGCTTTGCCAAGTAATTCTGAAATACATAAATGGAACTATTCAAAAATGAAGTTGGTTCGTGCACAGTCCTGATTATGAGAACAGGAGAGAATCTGGGTAACAACGTCACATTTAATACCCTGGGACTTGGATAAAATGTATGTAACTTGTTATTAGCTATAACTTCACATTGAAGTTGTTTTTTTCTCTTTAATTTTAGGAACTAATGCAAGAACCTGCTATGCAGCACAAACATTCTAACTTAACCAAAGGAGACACATCAGACTGGAGGTAAATAAGCATTTCACCATTTTCTAACACATTACTACAGTACTGGATTTGATCAACTCAAAACTGACCATGATACACAATTGCAAGCTGTGCAGATGTTAATTCTTAGTCCAAATTAAGTGTTTTTAACCAGATGCTTAATACCTTAATTTTTTATGCCTTTTTCTCAGATAACATTTATATATTTTGTTGGCAGAAAACTTTTGTTAAACAATATGCATCAAGGTAGTTTGTTGTTTCTTCTCCTTCCAGTGACAAACTGTAGGTGGGATATTACGTAAAGGGAAAAGCTGAAAAAATGAATGTGTTAATTTTGACATGTCGGCTAGTTCCAGAATATAAATGCAAAACAACATCATCTTCTGATGAAAGTTAGGAATGTGCATTCCACATAAAGTAAATTTCACACCATAGTAATGATGTAGCCAAAACCACCTAAACTGAGACCAAGGCATTACCAAGACCAGAGTGTATTGAGACCAAGACAAAACCAAGACCAAGGCAGGGTGAGACCAAGGCAAGACTAAGGCAGGGCTAGACCAAGTCAAAATCAGAAACAGGTTAAAGTTTGAGTCTACATAACACAACACACTATAAAATGTGAAGCATAAGCACAATCTTGGGGCTAGGCAGTATGGCCTAAAATTTGTATCACAATATAATTTGAACCGTGGACATTTTTTTTATTTCAATATAAATACTTCTTGACAGGTCAAGCACAGGTATGGCTACTGCATGATGCAAGGGCTTAGGATTGGTCTCAGTGTGAAAACCAACAGGAAGCACACACGTCAGTTGAAAAACTGGCCAGCAGAAACAGTCAGAGAAAAAGGATGGAGTCTGCACACCAGATGATGCTCCCAAATCGTTTAATATTTTGCTACCTTATGTGACATTTCAGGCCCAAGCTTTTCATCAGACATTCAGGATTGGGCCTTAAATGTCACAGAATGTAGCAAAGTAATAAAAAAAATCAGGAGCATCATCTGGTGTGCAGACGTCCTTATTCACTGTAGGTTTGGTCTAAATCCTCTTGTCCACCTTTGCGCAACAGCACCCACATAACAACTTATATTGTTTATACTACATTTATATTAGACTTATTCATTCAACATTCTTTTTCATTTTTTAACATCATCTAACACAGCATTGCGAGCAGTTTTGCCAGTGTGGTCTTGACTGGTCCTGAAATAAAACCCCAAGTCCTCTATGCCCGAGACCGGGACAAGACCGAGTCAAAATAAAGTCGATTTCGAGATGAGACCAAGCCCGCAAAAAAGTGGTCTTGAAACCGGCCTTGAGTACTACAACACTACACCAGAGTACAGTATATCTTTGGAAGTATTATTGGCGCCAAAAATGAATAAAGTGGCAGTTTACTTTTGTAATACAGGCCCAAGGTGAGCACAATGAATAAGGAAGTGCAGCTGTCAGATTTAATGTACCTTCTCCTTTGAATTACGGTGGGAATGCATGAGCATAGATGCGGAAATTCAGTCAGAGCACAATTCTCTGCTGCCACTGAGCTGTAGCTTGAGGCAGGGTTGCTTAGCTCCAACCTCATGCTGTCCTTTGCTCTTTCTTGCACGGAACAATCCAGTATCAGCTAAAATGATAACTTTTTTTAGCGGCAAATGTCCTGTGTTAGGTTTTCCGTAAACCTCTGGTGTTCCCTTTCCTTAAAAATGAATTTTCTCACTTTGAATCCTTGTATGAAATGCTGAGTAAAGGCTGCTTCATGTTCCCGGGTAGCCGGAGCGTTGGCACATTTGACAGTGATTTATGAATGGTGCTGTGTGAGTGGTTACCAGCGGGGCGGCGCTCCGGTGCACGGCCAATGGGGCAATGACACAGTGTCAGCGGATGGAACGCCTCACTGTAATTTACACATATTTCCTATTTTTCAGTTACGGACCCTGAAAGTGTCTCCTACTGAGGAGGAAACGCGATGCGTAGTAAAACATTCATTGGTAGGTGTCAGCTAGGCTTCAGATGACATGGCAAGGATGTGTCTGTCTGTTTCATGCCCACGCAAACACACACACACACATGTGTACACATGCCTGGCAGGAACCCTGCTCAAACATATACAGTAAACGTATTTACAGAGCCAGAAGGTGAAACCCACCCTGCGATTTCCTGTATTACAGTAATACAGTGAGCACATATAAGCAAGGCTTCTGTGTGTGTGTGTGTGTGTGTGTGTGTGTGTCTGTATGCACACGTGTGCATGTTTTTTTGTAATATTTACATTTGGGGACCAGATTTCCCCATAATTTGATAAAAATCTGTGATATTTTTTTTTGGTCCCCGAAAAATGAGAAAGTCAGTTATATAAAAATCTGTGACTGCAATCAAAAAACTAAAAGTGCCTAAAGTCCTGTATTTTGTTAGGTTACTTATGGTTAAGGTTAGGGCTGTGTTAAGGGTTAAGCTCGTCAAGTTGGGATTAGTGTTTTTCTCATAGAAATGAATGGAGAGTCCCCATAAAGACATAATTACAAACCTATGTGTGTGTGTATTTCTGTTTGTGTGTGTTTGTTTGTTTGTGTTTCTGTGTGTGTGTGTGTGTGACAGAGAGAGAGAGAGAGAATGTTTGAGTGACCAGTGTTGGCCAAGGGCTGGGTGTGGATAGTGTGTCATATGAATGCCCTTCGCTTGTCCCTGTGTACTTTTATGAGCGCCCAAATATAGAAGTGTTTTAGTGGCGCTACTTGATGCCTTCTTTTTCAGGATAGAGGTGCTAGCTTGAGGTCCACAGAAAGCAGCTCTCTTACTATCTCATTCTCTCCACCATTCTCTTTAAGTATCTCTCTCCCTCCCTACAGCCCATCCCCACTTCTCTATCCAATTTTTACAAGACCTGCCTGCTGCCTTTCAATGCAATGTTTGCGACACTCTAATTAATAGCGTAGAAAACGGCATATATAACTATAAATGTATTATTCCCTGATTGGATGCCAGGAACACAACTGGCATGGCTGCCTCGCTTTGTATTTATCGGCTATTAATATGTGCTGCGTTTTGGAGTGTGGACAGGCCGCGGCCCCCTGAAATCGTGTGGACATGCTTGCCCTGGTTCCCGGGTCCTGGTTCCACGCTACCTGTAAATTGTCCCCTCAGTCTCGTACGTCTCCGCTGCCAGCGGTCCAGGCTGCAGCCCTCCCTGCCTCATGCACACAGAGACTTCTCTCTTCTCCTCTGGCTCCCTGCAGCCCTCTGAGCATTGTTCTGTGGGCTGGCTTCATGCACCTGGCACGGCTAAATAAAGGTCTTTATTCTGCCGTCGGCAGTGCTGGGCCTCTGTTGTGTGTTGTTCTAAATGTATTCGAGGGAACGGGCCTTGATGCCTCGGCCTGATATGCAGGACAGGCTCCCCGGCTCTCAGAGACGCTGCTTTTGCTCCGCTGTGACGGGGCCGACATTCAATAAATACGGCCTTTTTGGAGCGCAGGCTGCAATGAATACATCCAACCACAAGGTGCTCGAATTTCATGCTTATCTTTTAAATCTTGTTAGCGGAAGCCATGTTCAGTATCTACTTTCTACGACATTTCCTTTAAATGTTGTATAATATGAGATATCTTTTGCAGTATATGGTATTTTTATGGTACTGTCGATTCATGTTTGTGCTTTTTCCCATGTAAATAACCCTTGATCATAAAGTATGCCACGTGTTGCAAACGCAGTGAGGACTCCATGCGTCCATCGCTGTAGATCCTCTGTCCTATTCTCTTCACATCTCTGTGTATGACTTTACAAAGGCTGGTAATCCCATTTCCCCCCCCTTTAATATTGTGATATGAAGTTGTGCTGAATTTCTTCCACATTACTTACAGTAGTAGTCCTGATGTAATTGACTATGTTTAAATGGTTTCTCATTCCATCCCTCAGCTGCCGCTACTTTCTGTTCCCTATAACTCTTTAGACCTTGTTTGCTTGTATATTTTCGCACCAATTTAATAGATTTCCAAGCTAGCGCTTATTCTTCCAATCCACTTTCATTTCAACTCAGACCGCTGGCATCCCCTCCACATCTGGCCTGAAGAGAAGGCAGCATATATGTTTTTCTGACACGACTGTGTCGATTTGATTCTCTCTATACAGTGCAGCCCACCACACGGAGTAGAGCTGCTTCTCTCATAGCTTGCAGCTGTCGGAAAATACCGGCCACCTGACAGGAGATATACTGCTTTACTTAAAGTGTCCTTAAATCCGCAACAAAAAAAAATACTGTGGATTTAAAATTCTCTCCTGTAGCTCAGCAGTCTTCAGAACAACAATTATGATTGTTTTGTTGTAGCACTTTCAAAGTCAATAGGTTGATATTAGACTCGTACCCAGGAAGAGCTGAAATCAGTATAGCACAAGTGTCTGTTTCAGATTTAGGCTCTCCAAAGCGCTCCCCTCCTGAAAAAGGCATCGTTTCACATCCCTGAAGGGCTGTAGCCAAGCCAAGTCGGGTGAAGGTATCAGACGGCCATAAGCCCTTCCACTTGCTCTTCACGTGACTGTGATATAGTTCTCACATTTGGTTGTGTGTGTGTATAGCGCTGTGCAAATGTCTGAGGCAGTTAAAAAAAAATTATGTATAAATGATCTTCATGTTGCCGTGAAATTATGATTTTATGTCCGTAAAGTGTGTCAGCTTGGCCATTTCAAAACCTCAACCCAGGATTTACAACAGGGGTGGTCAATCTTATCCGCAAAAGGCCGGTGTGTATGCAGGTTTTTGGGATAACCTTTAGGTCAGCTGTTCAAACCCAGGTGTGAGGACTCTTCAGCCAATCAGTCCTATAATTCGTGACCTAATTAGGGAGTTGCAGCGAAAACCTGCATACACACCGGCCCTTTGCGGGTAAGATTGGCCACCCCTGATTAACAGCGACCATCTAATATGCCCATGCAGTTTTTGACTGGATCACTAGCTCACCTTGTTTGGCAAATCAATACCTTGTCGATGAGTGAAATTAATTATTTAATTGAGCTAGTAGTGAAATTTAACAAATATATGGAACATCTGAGGTGCCCGTGAGGAGAGGTTTGGGAACTGAAGCAGTGTTCATCTAGTCATCAAACAACATATCTGTAACTTATTGTACAACAAAGGAAATTCTTGTTAGTTTTTCTGTTTTGTTGTGCTTTTGTGTTTTATTGTGCTTTTAACATTTCTTTTGACTGCCTAGGACTTTTGCACAGCACTGTATTTCAGTGGACACGTGGTTTCGTGTGTTTTCTGCTACTCCATATTACGACTACAGCCTGAGTAGCATATTTTTGGGCTTGGCAAAGTTTGTATTTGTGATGGAGAAGCTAGAACATGCTGCTTATTTTTCATAGCTTAAGTGTTAGGCTAATATGTTAGGCTACTGCTAATCAAACCTTTGTTTTAAAAGGCTTAATGAGCGACACGTGTGTATAAATCGGCCTGGCATGAGACAATGACCAGCTGCCGCCACAGCAACAGACAGTGCTAACAGAACATTGATTAGGTTATTGACTGTTTGGTGCCAAAGCTGCAGATTGTTAGCAGTATAGAAAGTGGATGTGTAACAGAGGGGCAAAGCTAGTTTATAGCAGCTACTCTAGTTATAAAATTTTATTCTTAAATTTTTTCACTGGGCAAGAAAGTGTGTTATTTCTGATACAGGTTATTATTGAGACCTGATGTAACATTAAAAAATCTTGTCCATTTTCCATTGTAGTCGCTCATTTGCTTCTGCCTCCCGCATGGCCGTGAGTGGGCTCCACATTCAGGGCCGAAGCTCTCTTTTCAGTGTTGAGCCCCGCTTGGCACATCGGATAACCATGTAAACAGCTGCCTCACACAAAAGGCTGATGCCATTCTTCTCAGCATCTGACTGCACCTATAATCACTATTTATACTCTGTGTTGCTGGGCCGTGATCTGAGCTGGTGCACCAGTGGGTCTTAATTCTGCCCCAATGCTGCTGTCACTGAGGGTTCAGCAACTTGCAAAAACTCAGAGCTTGACAACGTGGGTGTTTCTCCCATTACCTGCCTCACTTCCACTGTAAAGCTACATTTACCATGGATTTATTTAGCAAGTGCTTTTGTCGAAAGTAAGCAGGGAGCAGGGGGTCAATGCCATGGCCAATTCTGACGGACATTTCTATCAAAATGCGATTTTTACCACCGACAGTGGATTTAAAAGCGTAGCCTGTATGGGTTTTTTTTTCTCAGTCAGAACATTTTGCCTTGGACACATTTGTTTGTGTACAGACAGCGTGACGAACCCTGGTTTGGATACCATGGGGTCAGGGACCGGGGTCAGCCAGTGTGGTGTTAGGGGCCGCGCTGAAGGACCCCGTGGTGTCACAATTACTATGCCGGCCACGGAATTTGAAATCACAACCTTCTGGTAATGGGTGCGGATCCCTAAACAGCTGAGCTGCGCACCATCCTAAGAGGCACCAATGTGAGAAGCAGAGACATCCAAAGAGCCTCTGGCACTCTCTGTCCATTAACAGAGCAGGGGAAGAAACATTGCCACTGGCTGACTTACTGTTATGAAAACTGCAAACAATAGCACTTCTGAGTTCCTGCCTGCTCATGTTTGTATTCACTGCACTTCATACAGAAACCGCAGGGCTGATGGGTCTCGCGGCCGAGAGACTGCCAGCCATCACTTAGCACAATGATGAAAATGTACAAAATGCAGTAACCGTCAGAATGCTTATTTTAATTTGGTGGCTTTTTATTTCTTTTGCTCCTGATTGCTAAATCACAGGAATGTGATAGAGACTCATATACGTCCAACTCTCCGTGAGTCAGAAGAGAGAGTATTGAGTATTTTGTTCCAGAATACAGCTGAATAGAAATTCTGTCAACCATCACAAAGAAAATCAGCAGTTCTTGCAGTATGTTCCTCCTCACTGTGACTTTAATTGGAAAAATCTCTAGTAAGATACTAATACCAGTGTTTCCCAATCCAGTCCTCAGGGATCCATAGACATTGCACATTTTTGCTCCCTCCCAGCTCCTGGGAGGGAGCAAAAATGTGCAATGTCTGGCAGGGAGCTTGGACAGAGAAAAACATGGACCGACTGTGGGTCTCCAAGGACCAGATTGGCAAACACTGCTAATACCTTTAAGATATTTGGGTGTTCAGTGACAAGGTTCTTTTGCTTTCTGCTCTACTTTTTGATCTGACTTTTTAAAATGAGTAGTCAGCCTATTGCTAGTAACAATTCTAACTAATCTGTCACAAGCCTAAATAAATGCAGCATCATTCCC